GTTAGTGTGGTGTTATTTCAAGAAGGAAGTATGGAATCAAATTATGGTTGGTAGTTTATGTTAGAATATGTTATACGTATATATTTGCGCTGCGGAAATCTCTATTAGAAAAACTTATGTTGGTAAACGAGACAAAATAAAAGAAGAAATACTGTATTGGGTAGATGAAACAATATTATGAATGCCACCGAAAACATTACTATATAGATGCTTACTTTTTGAAGAGTTACTTTTCTATATAGATAACATGCTTACAAAAGAATTACTGGAGGAAAAAAACTCTCTATTAATGTATATATGCATATATAAGTTCCAGTAAGAGAGAAACACATTTATTTCTTCTGAATATCAGCTACCGCGAGACGGAGAAACATTTTCTTATTTGTTTTCATTTCGTTACTGAATCATGTTTCATAAACAGATAATGTATCACCGTAAAATACGGCGTATAACGCGCACCTATACTTTCAAGCTGCATTTTTTAATTTTTAGGTATATTAGCCATATAACGCGCACCCCCTTTTTTACGAAGAAATCTGAAATGTTAGTATACAATGCTCTTATGTTTTGAAGTAATTTATTCGAGGTATTATCCCAGACTTTTGAAAACAATATAGTATACTTCTACTATAACTCCTTTAGTTCAGAAGACATGTCATTTCTTTGAAATAAACAGTACTTCAATATGTGTAGGAGTGATTTTTTTTTATGCTCATCTCTTTAGTTATTTTTAAAGCTAGCGTTTTCATACCCGAGGTATAACGCACACCCTTAAATTTCGATCTTATTTTTTGTCTTAAAAGTGCGCGTTAAACGCCGGATTTTACGGTATCTAGAAAGACTGTTCTTATCAAGTTTGAGTATATTTTCGGGAATTTCATCTCCATGAGTAATGGCATTGAATTAAAAAAAAGTGTGTGTGTACTTATGACACACGTAAGAAATTATACCTCTTTGGCGTAACAAGATTAAAATCTTTCTAAAAATCTTTAGCAGGGCAAGCTGGGTCAAGGACGAAAGGCGGTCACGAGCAGAGTTGAACGATATTAACCTTTAGTCAATCGGAACAGCCAAACCTGAGATAATCCCGATTTAAATAAATTTAAACACCTCCGCAATGGAACAATAGGGCCAATAATATGGGGAGGGGGACGAAGGTGGGAATGATCTGCCCCGTTCTGCATATTTCTGGACAAAGCATTTTCGTATCCGTTCCTACCGAACGCAAATCAAAGGCTCTGTGACACGGGGCGTATAGCTCAGTGGTAGAGCATTCAACTGCAGATCGGGAGGTTCGCGGTTCAAACCCTGGTGTCCCCTTCTGCAGGGAAGTGAAGATAAATATTTTTCTGAGAATTTCGAAGGTGGGAATGATTTGTCTCGTTCTGTATATTTCTAGACAAAGGATTTTCGCATACGTGACGGTGTGCGTCACATCCGTGACGGGGTGCGCGCGCATTGAAAACATTTACCCTCATCCTATTTCTCTAACGCCCCAAAAGAAGTATAACTTCAAAAAAAAATGTTGAGATTTCGAAAATATATATATAATCATTTTTGTGTGATTGTTGATTCTTATTAAACAAAATTGAATTAAAAATACTTTTTGAAAAGATTTGTCTTGAAAATAATGTTCTACCCTGTATCATCCGGAAACATTTAGACTCGGGACGTTTGGTGTAGCCGAAGTCTTCGTTCGTGTTAGAGTTAATATTTTGTTTCACCGAAAAAATACTTGGTGTAACAATAGATCAATGAATTCTTAAGAAATTTCTAAAGAAACTTGGAGAAACAGCTACTGAAGCCTATAATTTATTAAAAGAAGTGTATGGCAAAGCAGGTTTATATCACGAGCATGTGTTTTTGAGTGCGCGACATACGGTAAATTTGGGAATGAGTTCCAAAATTTTAACAAATCGTGTAAGATGAAAAGTTTCTAAATATTTTCCCAAAAACCATAAAAAAAAAAAAAAAATAAAATGAATGTTGCATATTTATGGAATAAAAACAAATCGTTTTTATTACAAAAAATAAATAAATAAAATTAGTGCACAGTGAAAATTTAGTCTGCAAGTACATATAAAATTCCGAATTGAAATTGAGAATAAAACTACTAACAACTGTCTATCGCTACTTGATAACAAGTGTACGCGTTTATTACGAACTGGATCAAAAATGGTATAATCAGTATTTGTGTCAGATATGTGCCTAGCAGAACTATCGGCTTTGAATCAAATACAGAATTTTGTTCATTATTAACAGCATCACACACACAGTTCGTTTTATATATTTTTCCACACAGTCTTATTAGAGACTGCTTTTTAGGTTTCTCAAGTTGCTTGTATAATACATGATTTCCTGCTACACAAAATTTAAGATAATGCTGAAATTTTAACGCACACTTTATGTCATAATCATGAGTAAGAAAATGTTATATCACAGGTGTAGAAAATTTCTATCTCTCGCGAATTAAATCAGCTATTAGAAGCTGAATTCCAGCTTTGACTTCGCCATTATGAACATTTTTTATAATCCTAATTGTCGTTAATTCATTTAAATCATTCTCATCCAAAGGGCATGGATCCCTTTATTTTTTGAGTTCGTGTCTGAATATTTACGTCGCACTGTTTAGCTACAATAGGGCTTTTGGCGACGGACCTCGTAATTTTGAACCATGGTCAAGTGACGAGGACAACACCTGACTTGGCTCCAACTCTACTAAATACCACACCACACTAAAGGGAGTACGTTTCAGCTCTCGACTGATTTAACGTGCATCGATCTCCTACAAGGCAGGTCTATAATGGTTTTAGGCTCGAACGCGTGATAATTTGACCTAATTTTTTTGAAAATTAGTGCTAAAACAAAAATTTTGTGCAAAAAGAAAAAAGAAAAGAAAACAAGTGTGTGTGTCCTTATCTACGCACGTAAGAAGTTATACTTCTTTGGCGTAACAAGATTAAAATCTTTCTAAAAATCTTTAGCAGGGCAAGATCTGGGCCAAGGGCGAAAGGCGGTAATGATCAGAGTTGAACGATACTAACCTTCAGTCAATTGGACCAGCCAAAATAATCACGATAAAAATAAATTTAAACACCCCCTCACACAAAGACAATAGGACCAATAACCTGGGGGGTATCAGACTGTATATGGAGATGAAGTGAGCCAAATGTGATATCTGAGACCTCATATTGAATGTCTCGGCGGGAAGAATCGTTCCTGAGAAAAAATTAAGACATCCTCCTGAAGAGCCCCCGAGTTATGGTCATTTTAAAATAATAAAAACATTTAATAGAAGCAGCGCACCCAGCTTCTCGAAACTGGGCCTGGTTGTGAGGAAACACAAGATGGATCCATTAGAACCGCCCGGAGTCTGTAGTTGCAAATGGGGCAGCACTAGCTCGGGAAAGGAAAATGAAATTAACTCCCCCTCCCGGAGTGGAACAACTGTGACGTAAATAGTCATACACATCCTAACGATACATAGAGTAGTAGGTGATCCCAAAGTTTCATCCTTCAAACTCTGTAATATCGTTACGTCATCAAAAGATTTAACCCCTTAGGAAAAACATGGTCATTCTAATTTTAGTGATAACGCCCCCTAAGCCCACTATCTACACATGAATCATAACAGATGAAACGGCTCAACAAAGAGAACCTATGGTCTGAGTTTCATTAACGAATCTCAAAAATCTTCGGAGGTATGCGGGATTTAAAAAAAAAATTATAGCTTTAAAATAATTTAAAAATGTAAAATATGGGAGAAGAAATAGGGCTATGGTCCTGAAAAAATATATCTTAGATGCTCATAGGAAGAAGAATCGAATCCAGCCGGTACGGTCGACCAAGATGGCAAAGAATTCAAGTTATTTCTGGGGAAGCCCTGTAGGGGGGGGGG